CATCCTTCCAAGGTGGGTAAAATGAGGAGCCAGATTGTTGGAGGCAATATGCTAACTCTGTAAACCGCTTAGAGAGAGCTGTAAAAGCACTATGAAGCTGTATATAAGTCTAAGTGCTATTGCTATATTGCTTTTGCTAAATTAGGATCTCTTTCCTAGGTGTAGACTAGAGAATGTGAATCAAAATTTTCTTCAGAACAATTTTGATTTCTATTTATAAAATCTATGTTCAAACTTAACACTGAAGTACATAGAAATGTGTCATGCTAGAACATATTAACCTATATGTTAACACAGTGTATTAAACTGGATTGATATTAATATAAAACAGCTCCTCTCACATTTGGTGATTGCAAATATTATTAACTTTTTGCTAAATAGTAAAATAAAAATCTAAATGAGAATATTATTTCCAATATTTGGAACTTCGTTTAGACCTTTTTTGTACTTTGATCTCTGCAATTCCAACTGCTCTTAAGAGAATTCAGCTGTTGAGTTTTCCTCTTTTGTAGAACAGCTTTTAATGAAGGTGCACTGAAAGGAAGATCTTCCCATAATTCAAAAGGTTACCTTAAAGCATGGGTATCAAACTTGCGGTATCATGTTGCCGTATCGCGATGTTTTTTCCCTTTGCGGAGCTAGGGTGGGCATGGCCTGCATGTGATGCATCTGGCCCACAGCCGCCAGTTTAAGACCCCTGCCTTAAGATAACAGAATCACCATTCTAGAAAATTCCATAGCTTTGCTTCTTCGAGGTCTTGTTTCAAAGAATACAAGAAGAATATCTTTTGGGATCAGAAGTATTCTTGGACCCAAAAGACTGAATCACCTCCCATTCTGCCAAAGTACCTTTCACTGATAGCAAAGCTACAGGAATTAATGGGGAGAGGTAGCACAAACCACTGGGAGAAATAGGGGAGGGGTATACCTAAAAGGCCCCTCTTCATACTTCTTGTAGAGTTTGGCATATCATAGAAGGAAGCAGCTTCCCCCAATTCCAATTCTTCCTACCCATGCAAGACTGAAGCACAGATAGACTTGCTGGATTATATGAATATTTTAAAAAACATAATATTTTTAACGGCATGATATTGAAGTTCAATTTCTCAATTGGATTTTAAATGTATTTTTATAGGTTAAAATTTTTTATTTTCTGAAGAAAAGTTTCAGTACAGATAGGTCTCGACTTACAACCACAATTCAGCCCAAATCTTTTGTTGCTAACTGAAATATTTGCTAAGTGAATTTTGCCTTATTTTACCACCTTTTGTGCCACAGTTGTTAAATGAATCACTGCAGTTGTTAAGTTAATAACATGGCTGTTAAGTGAATCTGGCTTTCCCATTGACTTTGGTTATAAGAAGGTCACAAAAGGTGATCACGGGACATTGCAACCGTCATAAATATGAGTCAGCTGCCATCTGAATTTTCATCATGTGACTATGAGACTACTGCAGCGATTATAAGTGTGAACAACGGTCAGAAGTCACATTTTTCATTGCCATTGTAACTTTGAACGGTCACTAAAGAACTGTTTGAAGTCAAGGACTACCTGAACTGGCAACATTATTTGTTACTTACAGCATGTTTCTGCCAACACTCTCTCAGAACAGGCCTCTTCTTTTTATGTACCACAACCTCCTGCATATCTTCCAGAGAAGGATGCTGACCCACT